TGGCTATTTTCCATACAAAGCAAATTGACCAATTCTTGAAAATTTCCATGATTCATACTTTCGGGGCGGTCTTCCAATAAATCGTTTGAGTCATCACTGTCATCTGGATCTTCATGAGCTTTCCCAGGTTGTACCTCCCTGTGTCCTCTCAGTGCAATGCCTTGGCGGGCACAGAACAATGCACTTCTTACAAATGTCTTCAGAGTTTCTCTATTTTTTTCTACTGTTTGGGCCATTTGTTCATTGATTTTAACTGAAACAGCACCAGTTTTTTGAGAATCCAGCCATCCCTTGTACTTTGTTAAACAAAGCTTGTGGGCATTAGAGTTTTCATGTTTTTCTGCCATTTTCCTTATATTTTTCCAGTCATTATATCCGGCTGAAGTAAGAACTTCCTTTCTGAGAATAGAAAAATGTCGACAAAAAAAACAAAATACTGCATCATTTTCAATTGAGTATTCTATCCAGGAATACTGAGAATACCAAAAGCTCTGGAAAGACCTTTGCTTTCCTGAAATATTTCGCCTAGGGAAGTTAAGCATTGGTTGTTTGGGTCCGTCAGAAGCACATGCACTAATATCTAGTGGACCTCTAATTTGGTTACTTGTCGAAATGGACGGTTCATCTACTTTTAACTTTTTACAAATAGGCAGATTAGTGTCATTGTCATCTAATTCGAAAACTGACTTTTCAACATTGGAACTGGAAGACTCACCATCATCATCATCACATGTAGGCCTAATGGACTGTTCATTGTTCGTCTTTGATGAAGATGAAGCCTTTTTAAATTTCACTAAAAACTTTTCCATGGCACAAAACGAGTTTAGAACACAAAACACTATTTAATAAACGAATGTGCACAAAAACAATATAAGAACCAAGTTCGAAGAGCAGAATAACGATTAACTTGTGTGTTACGGCAACATATAGGTTAAGTTTGTTGTTCGCTGTCATCGAGTACTACTGAGTGACACTGACAGTGGCGCCCCTGGCGGGCAGCGGCTGCGTGTCTCTGTAGTCACTAGTCAGTGTGTTGTTTTGTGTGAGTGCGAGAGCGGGAGCAGTCTGGCGTCAGACTCACACACTATCAACAGCGAGTACAGTACGCAGTACGACGAACGAGCGTCGAGCAGTCGCCATTGGCCAGTCAGGAGCATAAACTAACGCAGTTTAAAGTTTTAACTAAATCACTCGTAGCTATTATAACTCACTTGACAATTGCAAGTACCTATCTTTCCTTATTAAATATCATTTCTTTATTTAGGCCTAATTATAATTTTATAATATTAACCCAAATTTTGGGTAGGACCGGGCCTACCCGGCCTACCCTCTGGAGCCGCCCCTGGTTTTAATGGAAACCAACATTAAACCTTAAAATAATGAGAAAGCTGGTCTATCAACCTTTGCTTCAGCTGTTGATTGTGGTTCATCATCACAAGCTCTTCCTTGGTTAGATTACGAAGATTTTTCAAAGGTTTACTAAATTAACAAAGAGGAAATCATCTGATGAGATTTATGATATGCCTAGACTACATAATTGTAACAAAAAAATCTCCATATAGCATGAAACTACTTACATTGAAAAAATAGCATAGTTTGCTCCTGCTAACAGCTCCCTTGTATAGGACTATTCCTAGGCTATACTATTGGTTTAAGACGAATACCAAGTTCAATTATTAGGAATATATCTGTTTAGTCCTTGTAAGAACAAGCCTACTATAGCCAACTTGTTACATAGCCAAGTAGGCCTACATGTTATTTTTACTTTACAATTTTCAACATGTTTAAAAAAAAGCCGATTTCAGGATAAGTTGCTGAATACGCCCTATGCATAATTACAATAAAGGACGATTTCTTGATATTGAAAAGTGTCATTCATAGAACAAGTATGTAACTTATCACTATGGTTAAAAGTTATAGCAATGTCGTTTTTAACTAATAAAGAAAGGCAATAAACTCCAATTTACCAGACTGACCTGCTTCCTGCCATGTCCACGGCAGTGTGTGTAATTGATAGGCCTATCATTTTCGTTTTTGTGTTTTGTAAAATGTGTGTATTATTTATTTATTCTGACGACACATCAAGTGGATCCTTTTGTTTGCCTGACGATGGCGGAGATCAGTAAATAACCGCCGAAACATATGTAGCAACATCGACACTACATGTTAAGGATTGTCTGACGAGGTATGTTTTAACCATTATATGTCATATTACGCAATCCTGGGGCTATAAAAATGAATTTTAAAATTTTTGCTGCGGCTGTGGAAGGCAACAATAATGTCTACATGACCGCGGGAGATGTTCATGATTTTGCCGCGATCGCGCATGACGACGATGACGTTTTCATGACCACGTGAGAGAATTATGATGTCTACACGGCCGCGGGAGATAATCAGAATTTTGCCGCGATCGTGGAAGACCTCCCGTCAAAAGACGCCGGATTACTGGAGTGCCGGAGTGGTGCAGTGCCGGATTAGAGAAGGTCTACTGTACCTACATTAAAGAAATAAAATGAGCTTTTAAAATATAGTTTGGTTGTATGTCCTTTGAACTTAATGAAATTTACATATAAGATCCTTAAAAATAATGCAATATTTAAAAATAAGTACTAAATATGATGAAACATCCAACTATTTGGTTCTGTTGTTGTAATGTTAGGTTTATAATGCCAACAAATTAAATACAATCTAGGAATAAGTTGTTTTCCAAGTAATGTTAGATACAATACCGACATTTTGTTGTTTAAATGTTTGTTCAATAAAAATTTAGTTCCAAATAATTTTACATTTACCTAACGTGTGTGGAATAAAAGCGTCTTTGGAAAAGTAGCTAAAATAGTAGCTATAGCTACATTTCATTGTAGCTGTAGTTGTAGCTAGCTACTTTTTCGAAACTGTAGCTGTTGCTGTAACTAAGCAACTTTTTTGGAAATGTAGCAGTAGTTGTAGCCAGCTACATTTTAAAAGTAGGCCTAGCTTCCCCAACACTGCCTATAGTATCCGTTACCAATAAGGATGTTACATCTATCTCTCCCCTCTACTATCATGTTTGAACTTTAAAGCAGATCTGCATCAGGGCCTATTACTTAATTGTGATAAGTAAAGTAAAAACAAAACTCTCATCACTTATATTATATGACAACCTAATGCTATCCTCATAAACACTTTTTTTAGCCTACAATAAAAGTAAAATGTGCATTACAGTTAATTCTCATTTTCCAGACACAATTAATTTTGGCAGCAGTTTGCAAAATGTTTCACAGCTAAGCTATGAATGTGCCAATGTAAAATAGGAAGTGTTGATGCACAGTTTACATTGGTTAGGAATTCCCCCTGTTTTTAAAATTGTGCCACTATCTACTTGGAAGACTGGTAATATTTTTTGTATAGCTTTAGGAAAACTTTGCACGTGTAGTTAAAATACCCCCGTCGCAGCAAACCTGCATACTAAGCGAATTTCCATTTACCCGGCTTGATTTCTACTAAAATATTCCCTATAAATTTTCAGATTTATTTCCATTTTTAAATGACATTAATTTTAGTGAGTAGTTAGGTTTGCTGCTACGGGGAAGATGTTGAGGTGTGTTGTTTCAATTGAAATATTGATAGCTTAGTATGAAATAAACCAAATTGCCAAATTTGATTAAAATATATCCATAAACAAGCAAACTAGAACAGTTTATTTATTCTCCATAAGAATAACATGGGAATTTTAAATTTACAATTTTTATAATTTTCTCCGTAGTCAATGAACATTCAAAAACACTTCAATATACTAAATTATTTGGTTTTTTTAAGCTCTTCAAAATGGTCTAGAGAGAAATTTAGAAATTTAAAGTTTTTAGGGTCAAAAATGAGAAAAACCCATTTTTACCCCATAAAACCTCCCATAAACCCTTGATCCCATGGTCCGATTATGCTGGTTCGCGAACTCGTTCGAATAAATGTAGGTTTACACATTTGTACCAAATTTCATCAAAATCAGATCAATTTTGCTCGAGTTATCGCGCTAACGGACACATATATAAATATATATATATATATATAGTAGCTGACCCGGCGAACTTCGTATCGCCTAAGTTATAGGTTTCCCCTAAGACAGACCGATGGAAAGAAAGTACCGTTACGTTTAATTTTCAAGATGATCTCGTTCGCATCGCTCAATCACGTCCTGGTTGAAGTACGTTCGCTACGCTCACTCACCTTTGGGTTGGAGCTCGTTCGCTGCGCTCACTTGCCTTTAGGTTGGAGCTCGTTCGCTACGCTAACTCGCCTCCAGGTTAGCTCGTTCGCTACGCTCACTCGCCTCCAGGTTGAAGTTCGTTCGCTACGCTCACTCACCTTTTGGTTGCAAATTAGCTGTTGTCATAAATGTAAAAGAAATAATAGTGCTGCACCCTGTTGGTAATCCTTGTAACTTTAATGCTATTGAACATCATAGAACAGAACCAACTTGTTTAATTGAAACAGCTGTTAAGATACATTAATTCCATTTCTCATAAGGTTAACATGGGAAACTCCAGAGCCACTGGGGCGGAGCCCTTTTAAGAATTTCGAAACGGGAAATAGTTTACGTCCGATTCGCATACCTACAGAATTTACACACCAAATTTCATTACGATCGGTGAAGTCGTTCCGGAGGAGTTTGCAGACAAACACTGTGACACGAGAATTTTATATATTAGATATATATATATATATATATATTAGATATATATATATATATATATATTAGATATATATATATATATATAAATAAATATATATATATATATATATATATATATATGAATTTGAACGGATGGTGTTTTTGGCCTCTGGGGACCTCAAAACGAAAAAGTAAATCGGTCCCGGGTCTAGGTCTTACCATGAGACCTACGGTAATAGCTTATTCCCTATTTGGGAAATTCGCTAAAAGATAAAACTTACTTACTGAGAAAGGTCATGTGCACATGTAAACTCAGGGTTGAGTATAGAGCTGATGTGTGACATTTTCCCAGGTCCTGGGTCATCCGAGGTGGTCCCAGCAGAAGTGGAGTGTTGAGAGTGTTCACTCCAAGAACATTGTGTCCATCCTACATCTACTGGTGGGTCTGGCCCGCCACTACAGGGCTCCTGTGAGACTGCCAGAGAATGTGGTGGTGGGAGTAGTGGTGGTGCAGGTGAGTAAGGACATTCATAATATATTTATTTTCTATGACAATACAAACATTTATGTACATTTTAAGTAAGTTTTAATGTTTGTGAGCCTGCTGGAAGTAACTTAGGGACGATGTCGATCCCGATCTGTAGGGCCTGGGAGTAACCGAAAAACCCAGCACTCGCTCTCCACCTTCCGTCGTGGATGGAGCCACTATGGAGAGGGTAGTCAAGTCCCTTATTCGGGCTCACATGCTGCGCCCGCTGTGTGAGTTAGGATGGGTGGACTAAATGAGGAGCTGTAGACTGCCGTTCTATAATACCTAAAAAAGAGCAAGGCTCCTTGACCTGATGGGGTACCTGGAGAAGCCCTCGAGAAGGTTCTTTCAATCAATCTCTTGATTCTTCTGAGCACACACAACTTACAGTTAGTTTACGTTCACAACCTGAAGGTGTTTCCGTGGTGCTGGAAAACCGCTAGGGTCATGCTCATAGGGAAGGGAAAGGGAGACATATAAGTGACGTCATCTTACAGTTCCCTCTCAATGTTGGATATGGCTAGAAACGTTTTTAAGAAGTTTGTCCGTTCGGATCTGAATTCAGCCGGTTGCTGCAAAGGACCTGAGCCCTTGTCTCAGTACGGCTTCAGAAGGTGCAATCAAGGTAGACGCTATGGAGGATGTGAAGTTTGCCATGATAAGAGAAGAGGATTTAACCACTCAGGTTGTGCTGCTCAGAACACCCAATGTGCGAAACGCTTTTGATTGTCCAAGGTGGTGCAATATGCTAGACGCTCTGGAGAACACCTTCCACATCCTGTTATACCTTATGCTCATCATGGAGGATTACATCTGGTTCTGCCTCATCATGTATGATACTTGGGAAGGCCTGCAGACGATAAGTGTCACTTCTAGTGCCCCCCAAGGTATACTCTACCTGGACCTCTGAAACATTGCCTATGACAGCCTCCTGAGGTCTGAAATGCCTGAGGAAACTGTTTTAGTTGGGTACACAAATAAGGTTATGGATTTGATAGATGCTCGTAGCTTTGAGCTGGCCCAGCTATTGAACCCAGTTATGTGAACCATCAACGCATGCATGGCAGATCACAGTCTCCCACTCGCTCTGAGCAAAACCCAGATCGTAAATCTGACCAAAACACCGAATTATAATTTTAAAAAAATATGATTTTTTATATAATTTATATACTGTATTTTATTATGTATTACATACATAAATGGTCATAATTTCATAATAAAGTAGCCTAAAACTATTAAAGCATAATATTTGATACAATAATAATACTAGTAATAATATATAACATAACAATTCTAAGCCTGTAATAAAAAATAAAAACAAATTGAATATTGATGCCTGATCCATACTTGAGCTTCGTTTACAAAAGCATTGGTGCCACCCCGACACCTATACTCGGGCATAGGGTTCATGTTAAAAATTGGTATGCTCATTCAATTTTTCTTTTGTAGAAAAAAGACGGGTCCCTGAGTCATCGCACAATTAATGAAGAAATTACATCCACATATGATGACTTGGGCATGCGGTGTGAGAGAGATGCATTTGACACGTTGTTTGATCACGCTCCTGACAAACTCCAGGTTGTCAAGAAGGTAGGCAAGTGTTACACTAGCATTGTTCACTAATATGATATGTTATATAGTCCTTCAACTATAGTGCTTGGCTGGTAATCAAAAGGTCGCCGGTTCGATCCTGAGAAAAATCAGTAGCTTTTTGATGGTTCGAAACTGGACCCAGCTGTTCCTGATCATTGGGCTTTAAATAAATGATCCTGACTAATGAAACCGCTGATCTTAGTCAGTAACAAAGCCACACAGGTCATCAGACACCATTCTACACTCCTCCTTCACTCATATTTGGGTTAAAATACGCACCTAGGTGGCGTCCTCATCTCAATAAATGATAATTGATTGATAACCACACTGCCGTGTACTGCACATCATCCTATACATCCTGTACATATCCACATTAATTAATGCAGTTTGGCCAAAATTAGTTTGTTATGTAGATTATCCTGCCAGTGGGGGATCCAGCCAGGGGTTGCAGAGGGTGTGCGCCCCCTCTCGGACATAAAAAATGTTTAACTATCGGATAGGTTTAACATGTAATAATGTTAGTGAGGTTTGAGAGTGAACTAAATGCTTTTTTCCAACTTCTTTTCAGGGAAAATTATTTGTGCTTTATTCTTTGGTCAAAATACTACAGGCTAAGTAATGGTTTTGTATAATAGATAGTTTTATTTGTCTTAGAGTTTGTTAAAATAAAATGGAAAAATGATAATCAATAAATTTTCCTCTACCGGTCTATCAATAAACCGTTAGAATCTACATCAACATCATCATCCCCGATCGCGTAGACAACGCTGACTGACCTCTCTTACAATCGCGGGAAAGTTTTAAACAACCCGACTATATCGAAGACATCATAATCGTATTCTGCGATCATGGTGGATTTGGGAGCATCTTCCGTGAACACCAAGACATTATCATCGTCTAACGCGATTTCAGGAATATCTTGAACATCCCCGTGAACGCAAAGACTCGTTATCGTTTCCTGAGATCTGGACAAACCCTGAACACCTATCACAGTTGCAATTTCCAAAGATATCATCATTGTGTTTCGCGATCTCAGCAAAATCTTCACTTCCTCGATCGCGGTGATTATCGTCTTCCATGATCGCGGCAAAATTATTGCATAACTACCAATAAACGGAAACGTTTTTCACCATTTCAGGGTTTTTACGAATACCAGTAAACCAAACCCAACTTCAAAAATGGATTTTATTTTGAACTTTCATAAAGTTCAAACATTTTCGTTGGTATACCTATGACCTATGGAAAAATTTTGTCCACACAATACATACTAAATTAAGTGCGCCCCACCCCCTCAACAAAGTAAAATAACATAATTTAAAATTACTCATTGACATTCAATTTTACATTCATTTTAAAGAGTATTAAAAACTAATGTTATTCTTAGGTTGTCGGTTACTCATCACTAAAATAAATTAATCACAATTTACTAAAAAATGTCGACATTTTTTAGTAAATTGTGATTAATTTATTTTAGTGATGAGTAACCGACAACCTAAGAATAACATTAATAATGCCATCACGAAGGAAAAAACATACCGGAATGTATTAAAAACTAATGAGAAATCTTGTATTACAAATGTATTTATTTATAAGCCCACAAAAATAGGGCCCTAACATTTACTACAAAGAGGTCTGCAAAAATTCTAGGCCCTACCCAGCAAACAACCTAAATCATGCTCTAAGACTTGTGTTGTTACTGACAAAACTATTAATTTATCATTTTACTGTATTTTATGTTGTTATTATTATGTTATTAATTCAAATTACTATTAGAGTGTTATAAGTAGTCATGCACAAAATATACAAACAGTCAACATAAAATCATGAACCCATAGACCTAAGTTACCAAGTCCAGTTACCGGTAAACTTTATGTGACTTTATGACTTTATGTGTCACTTTTTAAAGGTGTTAAATGTATTTTTCAACAATTCATGACCATAACCTGCAATTCTACCAAAACAACTCGTAAACAAACATTTAGACCCTACTAGAACACAAACAGTCAAAACAACGCACAAACCAGCTGTGTAAAGCCGTCTACTATTGCGTAATGGTTTTTGATTGGTTGACCACATCTCTCAGCTCTATTGTACAGGAGAAGAGCAAAATAGTTGTTGCCAACCTCCTTCTGTCGCATTTGGTGGGATTTGCAGCCACCTTTATTAAAAGGTGATAAATGTGATAGTCACGACCGTCTCGTTACGAGACGCTCGGCACTTGTGTCTTGGAGCGAGATGCGACGGAACTCAAGGGGTTAATCATCATCACATAATATTATTATAATTTAATTTTTGGTTTTAGTGTTTTAGTTTTAACATAATTTACTACTCGTAACCTAAAAAACTATGTAACTATTACTGTATTTGTAGCAGTGGTCCATTATGTTTTCTCATTCAAAATAAACATTTCTGTAGAAGAAAAGTTAAGTTATTTGCCTCATGACTTATTTGATAAAAATATGATATAACTTAACAACACTGTCCATCTCCTTTTTAACAGAAATAGGCTATTGCTGTTCTATGTTGATTGTCTGTCTAGGTCTACATATTTGTCCACAACTTTCTCATAGTAAGACATAGGATTATTATGTACAAGGATAGGGATCAGCTAGCTTACCTGGTAGATAGAGTCCAGATTAGCCTTGATTACACATAAAACACATGACACAACACAGAAAAACTTAATATTTCGTCCCAGTTAGGGACTTCATCAGAAGGGAGAAGAAAGAAAACTGGCAGTTACAGTTCAAATTCAAAAGTTCCACAATAGTGTTGCCAACTGTTGTTTAAAATTACTGTTGTTATGTACATCTATATACACATATACTTCTATATATACATATGGTGGTTGATTTTTATAAAAATGAAGCTAGCTGAGGGAATGGTTGGGTGAATTATCTGATGTTAAGGTTAGGAGGGTTTCTGGAATCAGTGATGTATTGGTAGGCTAGTTCCCACCTTCTGAGTAGGGAGCTGTTACATTGGTCTTTGGGGAGGGATTTTATGGCTTTTGTAAAACTTAAAACAAAATCTTTGCAGTATTGTTTTGTTCCACATTCTTGTATAATTACGATACATTTTGCGTTTCAGTCTCTGGTGACATTTGTCAACAAGCACCTCAACAAGGTGAACCTGGAAGTATCAGATCTTGACACCCAGTTCCATGATGGGGTGTACCTTACTCTGCTGCTGGGGCTACTGGAGGGATTCTTTGTGCCTCTCTACAGCTTCCACCTCACCCCTCAGGACTTTGACCAGAAGGTAGGTGGCTCATGCACGGGCACTGTGAACAAGTCAAAGCAAGTCATAAAATAATCGTACACAATCAGTCACTGATACCCCAGGTCAAAGGACACCAACTTGCTCCGCCACTGCCACTTGCTAATCTTAACAATAGGTATGTGGTTCTATAACAATATCCTACCCCCACTGGAAAAATAGCTCGTCCTCGTTACAACATGATCACCGTCTTCTGCAATTACGGTAAAATCATGAATATAACCTGTGCGTCAACATCAACCTAGCCTTCTGCAATCACGGAAAAATCTAAGATCTCAATCACGTCGCTTGATCGCAGCAAAACTATTGCACAGTTACAATATTGATTAGCAACAATATTTTCCATCAATTCTCGGTTTTGGGATTTTCGCTAAAACCGGTAAAACCTACAACCGATTAAAAAACCCATCCATCCTTAATCTTAACAATTTTCTACATAAACACTTTTCAACTGCTAGGGATTTCAATAGGAGTTGACCCCCTTTCCTTAGAACCCTAATCGCAGAACGATATTCTTACTTAGTGGAGCATCAATTTTCCCTCATCTCGGTTTCGGCTGCTATTACGAAACAGATCGTCTTATAGGAATGGAATCGGAATCCAGATTGAGTGGTAGTTAATAAGTACCTAGGCCTAGAGTATTTCTACATACACCTGATAGAAGTTTTGATTTTTATCTCTTTATCAAGCAGTTGGGGTTATACCTAAATGACACAAATGTAATATTCTTAGTCCATTGTTTATCCCCATAGGTTGTTGATAATTGACTTGTAGGTACCTACTTATTTCAACAGAAATAATCCATTTATTTGAGAAACATTAGCATATGGCTCTAAAGGGTAGTTCACATGTACATTGCATAATACTGTGATTACAATCTCATATAATACCTTTTTAAAATCAATGAAGTAATCAATTGATGGTAGCCTGACACATATTTCCAGCCACATATTTCCTCTGTATCTCTGAAACTAATGCTTTCCTATGTCAATGTTAAATGCCACATATATGCTTATATTTGCTGCCTTAGTGCTGGATAAAGAGCATGAAAATTGGGCTTCCAGGTTATGTTTTATTTAAGAAAATATTTAATGGATTCAAATCATCACCAAATAAGCCCATAATCTAAAGTTTTAACTTAGTTTTAAAGTGTTTTATTGCAGTAGACTCCCTCTAGTTCGGCCACCTCGGGACCGGACCACTGGCCGAACTACAAAACGGCCGGACTAACCGGATGTAGTGCATTTTACATAATCAAATTACAAATAATAGTATTGCGCAATCGTGATATGTTAAGTCAATAACTTTGGTTCTGTAATAAAAACTGAAACGTTTAAAATCACGCTTACTCAATAAAAATAAAAATTACACAACACTGTACATACAGCAATAAATCACGTAATGAACAGAACAACAGAAAGTCTAGTACTGCAAGCTACCGTAGTCAGCATAGGCTACTACTACATGTTGTTTCAGAACATAAGAATGTCCATAAAAACATTAGACAATTCATAAAACAGCATAAAACCATAGTACTTAGTCTTAAAAATTATAAGGACAGTCGTAAAATTGGATAAAGATAACAATACTTACTTACTTACTGCCGTGGCTCCACAAATCTCAGTTGATTCTTCGCCTCGTGTACCAGCCTCTTCCACCCTTCTCTGTCTTCTGCCAAGTTGACACTTGCACCCATTGTCCTGATGTCGTTCAATACTTGGTCAGTCCATCTCAATTTCGGCCTTCCCAATGGACGTTTACCTCCAGGTGTGGCTCTCCAAACTTCATACAGTCTTGTTCCTTTCTCTCTTCTTAGCACATGCCCTATCCAACTTAACCTTCTTCCTTTAACTATTGCAACAATATCTGGGTCGGTGTATAGTGATCTTAACTCTCTATTTTTCCTTATTCTCCACATCTGTCCCTCCTGTACTGGACCAAATATTTTTCTAAGTACTTTATTTTCAAACACCATGAGTCGGTTTTCATTTTTCTTGGACAATACCCATGTTTCACTACCATATAACAGAATAGGTTGAATTATTGTCTTATATAACTGTATTTTGGTTCTGTGAGATAATACTTTAGATGAGATCAACTTCTTGCAGGCTCCCCAACACTTATTGGCATTTGATAACTTAGTTAATATGTCTTCGTCTTCTGAGTTTCTACTATTTACAGTTACTCCTAAATATTTGAAACTTTCTGTACAATTTATAGTTAAGTTCTTTATCTGTATGTTTCTGTTTCTATTGTTTGCTTGTCTTCCAAAGTTAATGATTTTAGTTTTTTCTACATTTACTTGCAATCCTATTTTGTTAGCTTCTGTGATAAGTACTTCGGCCAAACTTACCAAGTTTTCAACTGTTTCTGACAAAATGACCACATCATCAGCAAATGCCAAAATGTTTAGATCTACTCCAAGCTTAACACCCAATCCTAGTTCTTTTGTTTTCTGCAGGGCTTCTTCCAGTGCTAAGTTGAATAGTATGGGAGATATGCCATCTCCTTGTCTTACACCCGTGTTGATGGAAAACTCCTCAGATAGGTCTCCTTCCACTCTCACTTTGGCTTTTGAGTCTTTCATACACATTTCTGTTAGTTTAATTAATTTGTCTGGCAAACCATGCTTTTTTAAACTTTTCCACAAGCTGATTCTGTCTATGCTGTCGTATGCTTTTTTGAAATCTATAAATATTGCGCTAACATTCTTGTTGAACTCCCAATATTTTGAAATTGCCTGCTTTAGAATAAAAATCTGTTCTATTGTGGACCTCCCTTTCATAAATCCAGTTTGTTGTTCTTCAATTAGCGTTTCTACATAGGGGTTTAGTCTTGCGACAAGGATTTTTGAAAGTATTTTATATGTATTATTTAATAAAGAAATTCCTCTGTAGTTCTTGCAGTTTTGTTTGTCCCCCTTCTTGTGTATAGGAATGATTGTTGCCGTTTTCCATTCAGTAGGTATCTTTTCTTTTTGCCATATAGTTGTGATTAGGTTGTGGATTTCATTTTCCAATATGCTTCCTCCGCTCTTGATTACTTCTGCTGTGATTCCATCTTCGCCTGGAGCTTTGTTGCATTTTAATTCTTTGATTGCCATTTTCACCTCTTCTAACGATGGTGGGTCTATATGAGGCTGTACATGATAGAATGTTGTATTTTCTTCGGGAGTATTTACGACAGTATTCTCGCAGTTTAGCAGGTCATCAAAATAGTCTTTCCATATTCTTAGTGTTTTCTCCTTTTCTGTGGTAACTTTTCCTTCTTCATCCATTATGCCAAATGTTCTCGCTTTAAATCCTCCTTTGAAGAATCTTATAGTTCTATAAAAGTCTCTAGTATTATTGGCTGTTCTATCTTCTTCTGCTTTTCTGAGTTTTTCATTTAAGTAATCTCTTTTACATCTTCTAAGCGTTTGTTTGGTGATTCTGTTTGCTTCCTGATATTTTTGTCTTAGCTCTTCAAAATTCCTTAACCTTAGTTGGTCTTCTTCCCCATTTCTGGTTTGAAGCCACAATTTTTTTAGTTTCTTCCTCTCGGTTATCATTTTCTGACACTCTTCTGTAAACCATGGATTTCTCACTTTCTTTACTCTTTTTCCACACACTTCTTTCACTACTTCTTTCACATTATCTTGAATCTTCTTCCATTTTGATTCTATTATTTCTTGTTCTTGTACCTGTTCTGCGACATCTTCTTGTACTTTTCTTCTCTCTTCTTCACTATCTAGAGCTTCAAATCTATTTTCTAGTTTAATTTTGAACTCTTCTTTAATTTCCTTCAGTTTTAGTTTTTCTGTTGCTAATATTTCTTTTCTTACAACTCCCCTTCTTTTAGTGTCTATTCTTTGCCTTACTTTTATAAGTACCATGTAATGGTCTGTTCCATATTCGGCTCCCCTGACACTTCTAATATTTGTAACACTGCTGATGTGTCTGCTGTCCACCAGGACATGATCGATCTGATTTTCGGTTTTTCCGTCTGGTGACATCCAGGTTGCTTTATGAATGTCTTTTCTTTGAAACATTGTGCTACAAACCTTCATGTCCACTGCGCTTGCAAACGTGACCAGTCTTAGTCCATTTTCATTTGTCTCTTCATGTAAACTATTACTTCCTGCAACTTCTTTCCAAATATCATCTTTTCCTACTTTTGCATTTGCATCCCCAATAACTAACTTGACATCATAGTTTGGTAACTTATTGAATTCCTCTTCTAAATTTTCATAAAAGAAATCTTTCTCTTCATCTTCAGAGTCTTCTGTTGGTGCATATATACTTAACAGTGAAATATTCTTGAATCTTCCTCTCAATCTAATATTGCATATTCTTTCATTCTTTGGTGAAAAGCTTATCACACTTTCAGCTATTCTTCTATTTACAGCAAAACCCACTCCTCCATAATGCCTTCCATCCTCAGTCCCACTATAGTATATTACATAATCTTTGGTGTTAATCTTTCCTGCATATGGCCATTTTATTTCTTGAAGTGCTACAATATCCATTTCATAATTCTTTAACTCTTCTGCTAAAATGTCACAGCCACCTGGTACAGCAAGAGTTCTGGTATTCCATGATCCTATTCTCAAGTCCTTAGTGCGTATCTGATTCGTTATCCTTTTGGTATGTTCCTTTTCCGAGGCTTGGTAACTACGTTTCGTAACTGGTATGTTTTCCGGGGCGGGTTGTTGGCCCAACGCCCAACCCCCACAATCCCTTGGAGGACCGGGCTCGAGTTGCCTGCCTTTCGCCTACCTCATAAGTTCCAAGCCAACCTAAGAGGCGTTTCCCACCCTGCACTACGGGGAAGCATCAGACAACTCTTGCTAACATCTTGGATTGCACTACTGGGACTGGCAGAGATAGTGTTTTCCCTTGATGTTAGCCATCGGCAGGGCTAATTTGGCTAATCATCCAGCTAAAGATAACAATGGATGACGTAAAACACCCCTTATTCTTTCTTCTTTGTTCTTCTATTCTTTCTTTGCCTCTTTGGTTTCTCTTCATCCACACATTCAACAGGTTGCCATGGTTACTAATCACCCAATAACAAACTGTTGTGAGATAGCAAGCAAGTGCACAGCAGACATCAGTTGTGTGAGCAGATGATTGTCAGTGCAAGCGGATAGCTTGACCTTGAAGCTAACGATGGCTAGTTCTTTGTTTTGCTTTAATTTATTGTAGTCAAATAAACCGTGGTGTTTCAAAAACAATAATGGGGGAACCTACTGCATAAAAAAGTGGTCCGAAATATTAAAATATACACTGCATCTCAACATATTAGACCGAAGAAAAATTATTTATAAAATGTTCTTGGTATTTTTGAGGTTATATGTAACATAGTTTTACATAGGTAATATGCGGCAATTCACCCGTAGAAGCACCCGTAAACTAAACTGACATGAATTGTTTACTTCTATGGCCGGAAACTAAACATTCAAGTTGAATCCTGTTGAAGGTCATTCGCCGAAGATATGACTTGTCCCCCTGAGACCGGGCCGGACCATCCGGCGGCCGATCCAACCGAAGCCGAACTAGAGGGAGTCTACTGTAGAACAAAAATTCTGAAAACTAAGAGAGTACTTCTTAATAAATCCTTGAATGTGTAACAGTTTGTAACAGAGGAAGGCAAATCTTAGGTATTATATATCCATTTTAATAGCCTGTATTCGTATTGTATTACTGTCTATATTACCTCCCTTGTAACTTAAGCAAAACATTCTGTGATGCAATGTTTCTGTTTCTGATTATCTATCTGCTTTCTGGCTACATGCCACCAATGCATATCAAGGAGCTAAACCCTGCCTAGCTTGTGTGTTGAAGGCCAGCTAATACTGAATGAAAAGTATAAATACTTCACTCACTAACCCTTTATCCTACACCTTTATCCAACATCAAGGCGTAGCCTATGTTACCAAACGTTTACTTACCGTCTTTGCAAGTAAGACCAAATTAGCTACACCTGACATGTGCTGCAACCTTGGAGTCAAGTTTCAAACTACTGTCTACAACGCTTAGAATTTTTTGAACAGTGTTGTTAGTGATAAACATTAAAGGTCTGGTCAACTGTGGAGTGGTCTAAGCTACTGTCTCATGCCTAGTAGACAGTATTGGTCGTTTGAATCAATCATTGGGTCTGATTTTCAACTCATGAGAGTTCATTTGTCCATGGGGGGTGGGAGAAGCCTAAGATAAATTAGAGTACAGTAGGTTGGCCAGACTGAGTGGATGAAGTCTTCACCTCATACCTGGCAGTGGTCACGCTGACACGTCACACACTGCGCTGGGTATACAATGACAGTGGATGTTTAGGCAGAAGTTGATGGAAAATTTTCCTAATTACCTAACCTTACTATGTTTATGTAATTAGGATGTTAGAATGTTGTGCAAAAAATTTGTTTTGAACAATTTTATAGTGTATGCTAAAGTATGCAACTTTCCTGCACCTATAAGGCAGGTCATTCCCCTATGTTTCCCTACCTCTGAGCAATAGAAATTCAAAGGTCATTGTTTTATTCCTATTATTTAACCCTCATAGTGAAACTAGGTACATTTTGAACCAAATATGAATACTAAGCAGAGTGTGCCATAAGGTAGGTAGCTTCATTGATAAACTTAGTTAATGATTTTTAATTTTTTTTTTCAGGTACACAATGTGTCATTTGCCTTTGAACTCATGCAGGATGTTGGACTTGCCAAGCCTAAAGCCAGACCAGAAGGTAAAATACAGAATATTGTTGTTTGTGATTAGAATTTACAATTTATTTACATAATTAAAAAAATTAATGCCACTGCAAATGTGCAGGATAGTTAAATTTCTTTTGCCATCGGCAAACATTCTTACTTGCACATCAACAGTAGAACCTCAAACAGCAAAATTAACCACATTTTACAAAATTTTTATATACTTGTTTATCTTCAACAATCAATGAATCAATCATTCTCACTTTTATTTCATATTACTTGCCAGAAATAGTAATTACTAAAAATATGTGTTGATTGAGTGGACAAGATATACTTTGGTTAAAAGTGTTTAATAGTATTAGTACAATATTTGATTTTTTAAGTGAAATACCTGGTTTCTGCAAGCCTTCACTTACCTTATTTTCTTGTGGTTCTAGTGTATAATGTAAGAAAGGGTTTTGGACTTACAAATCTATTTTAATCCTAGACTACTCTGGGGGTTATTGTAGTGACTAAATTAGTAACTAAGAGGTGTAGAAATCTACCAAGAGACTACCTACATTTTTAAAAGTTATATGTGTGTTCATAGCTAACAATATTAAGCTCCCTTTGAAGTAATGAACGAAACTGTTGAATATTTTTTGTAAAAAAGTGTAAACAATAGACAAAGACACTCAGGCTTCAAACAATAAATACAGTATCAATATAGCTCTCGGTATATTAGGAAACCTGATAAACGGAAAAATGAAAATAAGTATTTTTGCCAATAGCTATTATCCTACTCTTAAAAAGAATGAAGTGTACTTAAGTACAAAATAATTACATTATTGTCCACAAAAGTCACTTACAGAGTAAAAGAAAACACTAGAATAATAGAATAATTGGTTTGTTTTGAAACCATTTTGGTAACCACATTATCTCCTGAACTAATCTGTTTTTGTGTGTTTCTAGATATTGTCAATTTAGATCTGAAATCCACGTTGAGGGTGCTTTATAATCTCTTCACAAAATACAAGAACATCAACTGAGTTGGTTAGTTTGCTTCTTTGCGGTGCTAAAATAAAACAAAGGTCGACTAATATTGTGTCTTCACAAGTTACTGCCAATAGTATTAATATTTGTGGTTAGCTAGGGGGCCTGGGGGCGGAGCCCCCAGCGAGCCAAAGGCGAGTATACTGTTATACTTGTATACAAATTGTCGCAGACTATTAAAAACATATAAATTTAATGTTTTTAGCATATAGCACATTCTAAGCCAACTTCCATAGTAAAATCAGTTTTAATTTAGCTCATTCCATAATTATGACAGGAAAAGGTAAAAGTGTAAATGACACAAACTAATTGTAATGCAAGCACAAAATTTGTTTAAATTGGTTTAACCAGAAATAAGCACAAAAACTTTACACTTGGTGAAATACACAAAATGCTTTTGTCAACTGTTGAAAGTGTTTAATGAAGTTCTTTTGAAGACAACTCATCAGTAAGAATGAGTCATTTCGGAATGTTAGCACACGCCAGCAAGGTAAATGCAGGGAGTTTGAAAAATTAAAATTATATTTCTCTTCCTAAATTGAAGGTACCTATTAAATTATAAAATAGAATTTAACTATGTTCTCAATACTGTATTAAAACAATAATATATTATTCTGTTGTCTTGGTCAACTTCCAATAGGTAAAAGTTATCTTATTAAATACCGTAGCATAATTTAAATTTTGTAACCCTGCAAAACTGCTTTTCGTTTTGATAATTTGAAATATTTTCTATTTTAAGGTACCTACACTAGAATAATGATATTGTTACTGTCTGTTAACGTTTCGTTTGCCTTTTGTCGAGAATGTTATTTTTTTTTTAAATGTTGCCTTAACAAGTAATTTGTTTGCATGCATAAAGAGTACTAGTCACTAATGTTATTTTATAGAATTTTAATTCATATTGTGCCTTGCATAGTGAGATATATTATTTTTTACTTATAATTTATACAGTTATGGCTATAACAAATATATATTTTTGCTACTCATGTTTTAAAATTGTTGTTTACAATTGAGCAGATCTGTTTGTGAACATTTTATTGTATCACAAAATGAACATTCAGGGCATTTTTTGTAGTATTGTGTTAAGTCTTTGACTATTGATACAACTTCAGTATCCAATTGTCAATTTTTAAATGTACTAATGTCTATTGTTTTACTATATACACCATTTAAAAACTGAATCTGCATGACTTACGAAGAAAGATAATATTTTATAATTATTTTATCATTATTTTATAATGATGTCTAGACTTTTTGTAATGTAATATTGTATTCATTGTATGTTTTAAAGATATAGAGATTAAGTTTTATAGTGCTTCCATACTAATTCCTAATTTAACGTGGCTTTAAATTATATTAAAAACATTGACAGGAAATTAGCATCTTTTTACAACCTTGATTATTTATTATCATAAGGTCACTTTAAATAAGACTTGAAAAAATAAATTAGATTTACGATTACAAATTAATGACCAAACAGTAAAATCCAATGCAATTTCATTTACAACTGCAAAAGGTTGTACAAAAAAAAACATTATGAAACATTTTATTTTCATGGTTTCAGATAGCTCAAGTCATAAGCAATGTATTAACTAAATGTATACAGCTTTAAGAATTAAAATTATGAAAAATCATATTAATCTTTTATTGACATAAATTAATCCATGTTGTTCAACAGTCAATACAAAAATCAATATATATATTTTAATGTGGTTGATGATAAAACAGTTTTGAATTTACTTTTTATAATAAATAAAAATGGATGCTGGGATTTTTCCTAAAATAAGAAAAACAAAAAAAATAATTATGATTGGAACCAAGCTGTAGTTTAGAACCAGTCAGTAAGAGTATGGTAGACACTAGAAACTGTGCTGGCCAAGCCACTGAAAAATCCTCCAGTTTCAGTCTTTGTCTTTTTAACATCGTCAACCTTTGATTCTTTCAATTGCTCTGATGTTTTCTTGTCAGAAAGTTCACTGTTGTCTGACTCTTCTGAACTGAATAATGCTAGTGCCAGAGGGGATTCAGTATTGGTGTCAATAGAAGTTTCGTTGCTGTTTTCTGAAGAATTGTTATTCAAGAAATCAAGATCTGTGTCATTGTTTAGAATGTAAGTTCGTGTAATCTTCAAGACCATGGGATCAAGGTTCATGAAGAACTTAAGAGTTCTAAATGCATCAAGGATTTTCTTCATGAAGATCCGGTAGCCGATCTTTGGCCAGTCCATGTAGTGGTAGTCAGTGATCTCTAGTACTGGCACAGTACTGTTGTCATTGTCAGCTATGTTGTTGGCAACAGTGGGTGTTTCATCAGCTGCTGTCGTCTGTTCGGTTGATGTAGTAAATATAGGTACAATATCTGCCCCAACACCCTGAAAAAATAGTTTTAAAACAATATTTATACTGAAAAGTTTTTACTTTGATTGTTTTGCAGTACAATTTACTTTATTCTGTAGATTTTTGAAAAGCAAGTAAGAACTTATATTGGGATGAAAAACTTGAAGTCTATAATTTCACACTCCTTCAGATAAGAAAAAAACAATACCTTTTGTCAGAAGATGTTGCCAAAATGGTTACAAAATAAAGACGTAATGTAAACTAAACAAAGAATCATAGCATATGTTAAAATCAAAATCAAGCCACAACCTAAACACAGTACAAAGAAAAAAAATTACATGATGACCACTGATAACATAATACAGAGAAAGTCTTAAGTTTACATTTAAGTCACAATTTGGAAATGACTACTGATCGAATAGGTATTTTACAGTATTTTACAGATTTGATTTACGTAGCTAAATAAGGTTATAACAAATAACATTCATCATATGTTATTGGGAATTAAAACAACTACATGATTCTGCAATTTTAAATAACTAGGTATTCTCAAATCAATATTTTTACCTAAATAGGCTATTATGAATATGCCTTCTAATTATTTAGAAATATTTTTGATGATATTTGCTTTATATATTTTTAATATATTTTAAAAATATATTTGATGTGTTGGCAACACACTTTGTTGTATTGATTGTTGTGTTGGCAACGACTTGGGGGATATTATTGCCCAAGAAGGATAAAGTATTTATTGCGTTTTCGTTTTACAAGAAAATACCTAATTCGCATAAGTGTCATAATAAGGAAAATTTCATAATGCATTCTTAAAAACTGTCTGATATTTTTAGAAAATGAAGACGAGCCATAAACACCCGTAACGCACGGACAACTACTACTTCTGGCAATGTTTTGTTGAATGTAGAACACTTGCTTTAAAACAATAATCATGTGAAATGTACAAAATTTAAGAAAACAAACCTCATAAGGTAGGGTGACAACTATTTATGCAATTCTCTCAAAGTAGGCAAGTTTTTAAAAAGTTACATCTGCTTATTGTATGGATTAATGCAGGATCATTTCTGTCTGAATTGCAAAATCTGGCCAAGATTGAGAAAATATCAATTGGTTTAGGTTCAAGGTCGGGTTCAACCAGAACTGTGGGTTCACCAGATGACATTGGCGAGTAAACACAGGAAAATACCGTAATGTCCACATCTTTACTTATGAAAATTAAATTGTTATAGATGTTGATAGTTCTGAGCGAAACTGACAAGTTAAATTGATGAAATAGTTATATTTTGTATTATATCTATAAACATTTTATTTATTTATTGCTTTATTAAAAACCATGAAACGTGATCTCAACTGCCTTTCACTAATATGGAAGCAATCCTAGTATTGTTGAATTAAAGTTAGTTGATTATTCACATTGTTACAGTTGCATTGTCCCTTTATCTATGGACTGCTTATCATGACAATATACAATTATCACTTCAGTATTGGATTGCAATGATGTATTGAAGTACCTTATACAATGTTTTAAGAAATTTTGGGTTTTTTGTAATACTGGTTTGTCATCTGTGTGTAAACACTGTGTCAAGCTATTTAGGCACAAACGTATCTATTTCACGTTAATAAATTCAGTAATAATTTATTTATTTAAATATTCAGTAGCAAAGCTAATCTTTCTTGATCAGATACAAATCTTTGGAAACCTTAAACACATTAATAATATGAATAAATGTACAATGAAATTAAATGTAACATGAAAACGTAATATTGCCATGGAGGTAAAACATGGGAAAAGCACGATGAAACCATTGAAACATTCGCTGAGACCATAACATAGCTTGCACCATTCCCTTTTGAAAATCCAGAAAACACTATAACAATGTAAATTTCCATAAAAATTAAATGAAATGTTACAATATAAGAAAAGAAAAATGCCAGACGCTCGAATTTTGTATTTTGGTTCATAAAATGGTGGAAAAGTATAAATAACCATAATTAGCTCACTGAATAGACTGATACATTTAGCCCAGAAAGGAGTTTATACCATATAATTTAAAAATTAGGGGAATATATTTGTTAAAAATATATGCATAATGAGATCACTGAATAATCCACTATGTGCAGAAAAGAGTTTACCACCTACTGTTCCTTTTGAATCTTCAAAACTATTCCAGAAGATAAAATAGCAACAGCCTTACGTAGTTGAGGCATATATGTGTAAGAGATGGTAAAATAGGCATAATTATATTACTGAACAATCAATTTTTACCAGAATAGCCTTTAGAAATGTGTGTGTGTATGTATGTAATTTATGTATGTTTGTTTGGAAATGTATGAACATCAATATGTAAATGAACATAAAATTTGTACCGAGAGATAAAACAGCGCCAGTTTACTTTATACGATGAGCCAAGTGTAAATAATTTAAATAATAGGAAAACATTGAAAAGCATAATGAAGTCACTAAATAATCCATTATGACCAGAATCGAGTTGAAACAATTTAATTTTGAAACTTCACTAACATCAACAACAAAATTCCCCATCAAAATTTAATAAAATGTAACAAAACAATAAAGAAAATAGCCAGCCCTTGTACATGACTGTATATCAATGCTGAAGAGTCCATAATATGAGGGAAAACGGAAAACACGACAAAAACAGGCATAATCAAACCACTGGATAATCTAAACATAGACAGACGAATATGAAATCAAATGTTACCAGAAGATATGACAGCGCCAGGCCCAAATAGATGAGTCTCATCTTGTAGTTGTAATCGAACTGTCTTAGTGATGCAAGAAATGAGTAAACACTGAGCAATGTACTCACAAGTGTTCTACAGTGTGACATGCCTTTATCTACGTAATGACAATACTATTACTGTACTTGGGTCTCTGGGGTCTGCTTCTATGTTTTGGAATACTTCTGCAAACCCGAAATATCCATGCAAACTTATTATGTTTAAAAAATGTTTTGAAGCTTTTAAGTTTTTGAAACGGATATATTTTATGTAGGCTCTATGTAATAAATACCCCCACCGCAGCAAACCTGCAGACTAAGAAAATTTCCATTTGCTAAATAAAAAACATAAAATTTAAGATTTTTTATATTTTGACTGCAATTAAAGGTAAAACCCATATTTTAGTGATAACTGCAAATATTTTCATACGTAGACTTTGGCAGAAATATCAGCCTTATTAGGAAAGGAAAAAAGTAGAAATGCAAAACAAATAGCAGGTATTAGGTTCATGGTTAAGTTTCTATAAATATTTTCTGTTTCGACCTGTTATATATTCCCAGGAATAAAAATGACTACTCTATGGAATAACCTTTTTAAGCTCAGGTATTAAATTAGATCAGTTACTTTAGTTTTGATAAAGCATATTACGTGTAATATATTCCCATTACAAGCTCCACTCTAAACCTAATGGCAGTCACTCCGTGGTTTCCATGCTGCGCTACACAGCAACGTTATACACAGCAGCGTTAGTTCCTGATACAGATTAGTTCCATGTTAATTACGGTTGTTCACACAAATCGACAATTAACTCTGCGAGACATCGACTGGATCACATGACACAATCACGGATTAATATCCTGTCTCTAATAACGGAATATTGAACTTTGTTGTTATAATGATTGCTTTTACAGAAATAAATTTCAATTATTCTCGCAATGTCTATAAAGTACCTATTTCTCAGACGATTTTTACAATGAATACGAATTTCTAGTATTCCTGCAAACCAATTGCATAGAATCGAAAGATTTTGCATAATGCAATATTGGGATTCCAGAAAACATGCAATTTGTACCCTGGCTGCTGATGTTTACACAAGTAGTCCTTATTGCTAAAACCACCTGCTACTTGATACTTCATTTCAGATTTTTGTTCCTTATTGCTCCCTCTCAGTTTATATACAAGGAAAAAACATCAAATAATTTTTCATAAAAATTGTAGCCTACATTAAAACACATTATTAAAAAACAATCAATAGAAAACTTATCTTTTCTATGACAATGACACAATCTACAGGATTAATTTTCTCCAATAAAACATCATTAGAGAATTGCAGAAAAGTATAAACCAAATTGAGAAACGTAAGTTTTCACATTAAAATCGTTAAGTAATTCTTATATAAAACATTGGCGTGCATCGGATTAAAAGACTTGGACGAAAATTCTCTTGCGCACATGTTATTTTATTTCATAATTGTCTTATCCTTATAATATTTTGAGTCGGTAGCACAATAATTGTAAAAATATTATTTTTCCATACTCCTATTCACAGTAATATTCTATATTGAATTCAGACTAAAACAAACTTGAGAACAAACAGTTTAAGTAGAACCATCGAAATAAGAATTGATACTTCATTATTATAGTATTCTCAGGACTTTTACAGAAACAGGCGGAATGTTAGAGAGAAGCGAACATGTCACATTACATGTCAGGTGGAAAGTGTAACATCCATACTTCTGATATGTTCCATGTATTTATTTTCTAACTGCATTTGATAGAAAGTATTTTTTACTCTTAACTGAGAAATAAATGATTTTAACAGTTTTGTAATTCTTGCATTACGGATGTTGCGGCATTACATTTACGTAAAGCAAGTTACAACAGATTGAGCTGTAGATAAAGGTAAATACCTATTTTTTTAATTGTCGATCACATTTTTTAATTTAATTTAGATATATTAGTTGTCAACGTTTCAGTTGCAAATAACTACTAACTAATCATAAAGTCAAGGGAGAAACAAATACTTCGCTCAGTAATAATCAGTTGTAATTTGGTTCTTGAAGCTGGCAAACAATTACAGTCTAAAGTAGTTTAAAATATATACATGGATGCTTAAGTTAACTGTTATTTTGAAGTATCACACTGTGATGTATGTAGGGACTTCTATCTAATAATAATATCACTTAAATATTCTTATTTTTAGGCTACTTTACCTTTCCATTCCACCTTTTATAGACGTCCATGGTTCCATTCTACCTTCCTCACATTGTTTTGTTTTACGACAAATTCTGCTTCCCTCCTGTAACATGCCCGGTCCATCTCAGACATATTTAATTTTTTCCTCAGCAACCACGTTTATTGTTTTAAACAGATACCTTTGTTCACAATTACGTTTGATCCACAATTTTACTGCACACATCAATTTAGAGAATTTAAACAATCAAACCATCATAGATCTTGGAACTTTGTCTTGTAATTTACGTGGATAAGTTGTTTTTAGCGAATTTCCCATATAGGAATAAGCTATTACCGTAGGTCTCATGGTAAGACCTTGACCCGGGACCGATTTACTTTTTCGTTTTGAGGTCCCCAGAGGCCAAAAACACCATCCGTTCAAATTCATATATATATATATATTTATATATATATATTTATATATATATATTTATATATATTTATATATGTGTCCGTTAGCGCGATAACTCGAGCAAAATTGACCCGATTTCGATGAAATTTGGTACAAACGTGTAAACCTACATTTATTCGAACGAGTTCGCGAACCAGCATAATCGGACCATGGGATCAGGGGTTTATGGGGGGTTTTATGGGGTAAAAATGGGTTTTTCTCATTTTTGCCCCTAAAAACTTTAAATTTCTAAATTTCTCTCTAGACCATTTTGAAGAGCTTAAAAAAACAAATAATTTAGTATATTGAAGTTTTTTTGAATGTTCATTGACTACGGAGAAAATTCAAAAAATTGTAAATTTAAAATTCCCATGTTATTCTTATGGAGAATAAATAAACTGTTCTAGTTTGCTTGTTTATGGATATATTTTAAGTAATCAAATTTGGCAATTTGGCTTATTTCATACTAAGCTATCAATATTTCAATTGAAAAAACACATCTCAACATCTTCCCCGTAGCAGCAAACCTAACTACTCACTAAAATTAATGTTATTTAAATAGGATATAAATCTGTAAATTTTTAGGGAATATTTTAGTAGTAATCAAGCCGGGTAAATGGAAATTCGCTTAGTATGCAGGTTTGCTGCGACGGGGGTATTTTTTTTTTATTTTCTATATAGAGTTTTTTTTAAAAGGTACTCAAATTTGGTTTTCTTTTTGAATTTGAAATATTTAACTCGATTTAATAAAAGAAAATTGTTTTAAAAAGTGGATAAGTAAAGTAGTAATGGTTTAAAAAGTAGTTACCAAAAACAAAAACACATGTCTATTTCTTTTAATACGATTGAATGAGTTGGCACCGGTATACTCTGCGTCAACGCTTAATTTTTTATATGCACAAAGCTTTGTTCTGCGGTTGACTAACTCATTATTGCTATTCATTATTTGATGAAACAAAGCTAGGGTTTGATGAATGTCCTCAATGATGTAACGACAATGAGTTGGTCGTTTGCCTAATATATATTATTTGTATTCACAATTGGTAAAAGAAAACTTGAGTGAGTTATGTGTGTGAATTTAAGATTTAAGTTTCCAAATAGTTTAATCTATTATACAATAGTTCAGTAGTTTTTGTAGGGATATACTAGAAAGTAAAATATTATAGGTATGTGGTATTAAAATTGAAATTGAAGACATTGATCCAAAAAAGACTAAAAAATGTGGTTTAGTTAGCTCTTTCACACCAAAACGGACATCAATGAAACTCCACTTCAAAATGTGTAATTGGTAGTTCCTTCAGAACTTTTTTTTTCTCTTCTGAACATGTAACCTTTTTCGTATATTTTCTGGTCATTAGGTGCTGTTCAGCAAGGGTATTTAAACATTTTGTAAGTGATTTGTTTTAGCTACAATGTTAAACGGAAAATTAACCTTCATCTCTTTGAACAACTCTTTGAAAAACCAATACGGTAACAATTATTTTATTAATAAAAAATTGTTATATCATTAAATTAATATATTTTATTTCCTATTGATAAAACGGGTCTTCATTAGCTTTAGTTAAATAAGTCTTACGCCATCAAATACAGTAGCCTACGAACTACACAAACTAGTTTTAACGGCAATTTATACAAAATGTATATTAGTTAGGATAAGAAAGAAAAAAAACATACTAGTTTTGGTTAAAAGTAACTGGAATGGTCCAGCATTGTGAAATCTTATCCACTGTTAGAAATGAATTTGAGTTCAAATGGTTTAAGGGTTTCTTATCTTTATACATTCGTGTGAGGCCGCGTTTATCTTAGTCGGAGGAAAAATAGATTGTTTGGACGAAGGATTCTTTGTGGAAAGTTTTCTAAAGGAACTATATGAGTCCTCTTTATAAATCAGAGAGATTGCTTCACTAAACAAAAACGATAAAAACGATAGAATTTTGAGATTTTGTAATATTTGGATAGTATTTGTACATTAAGAAAACTTAGCTTAATTTTATGTGTTTATGTATTCTAAGCAGTTTTGTTGATTTCCTGCAATGAAAGTCTTTCCTAGTAGGATTCTATAACCAATGTTAACCCTTATGGTTGGTTAAACCGTACAGCTAGTATAATCGTAGTTTGTGCAAAATCTCCAGTCCACAGTAACAAAAAGAAGCGCTTTCCTTTAAAATAACATCTCAAACAGTTTTACACTTAACAATCTGTTACCAAACACATTCCTTATGCAATTAGATTTGTTTCGTAAGACAAAACCATTACTGCATTGTTTAATCTTTCCTTAAGTTAATCGCGTTAACATGGACTTAATCGTTAAAACTTATTCAACCCATAAAACCCTTAAAGAATCGAAAGCCATAAAACAAAAAAAAAGAAAGACTAAAGCAAAATGTTCTTCCAACTGGAAGAATATACTATGATTGGATCAAATATTGTTGGATACACGTGGGAATTTCAGCTAAGCAC